TCATATTTGCTTTTCTGCCTCTGTTTTATATTTGTTCCAATACATACAAAGGGAATAAACATGTGTATAGCAAAACATGTGTTAATGCAATACCTTTTTTGTGTGAAATACTTGATTTTCAGGAAAAATATCAAGGGTGCCAACAATTTCGGCCATGACTGTATAAGTGCCTGTAATAAATAAATAATACTAGAGCTGTCAAAATTGGACATAACTACCACCATATTAAAATGAACATTTCCAGGGACACTTTATTATAAATAATTTGTAAACATAGAAGAGTAACAGCAGAAAAAGATCAAGTGGTCCATCAAGTCTGTGTGTGCTAACATTTGCAAAGCCTTGTTTTCTGTATATATTATAAGTATATACAGTGAGCCCAGAAAATGCATACATGCTTCAACATGAAAAATATATGTATAAAAATGTTATTACTAGATTTACATAAACATCAAAGGGTAATTGTAAGTCATGTTTGAATTATGCAATCTCATTAGGTGCTCAAAGTGGTCACCATTAGCATCCAGACACTTTTGATTTTGATGAACTACTGCATGAACAAGATTGACTAGAGTGTTCACAGGAATTGCTGTTGATGATGTTTCAATTTCTTCCCGTAGTGCAATCAGTGTAGGTCGTTTTCTACGGTACACCACATCCTTTAGTGTTCCCCACAGATAGAAATCTAGCGGTGTCCATGGAATGTGGAGGGAATTCAACAGCACCTCTACATTTGCAACAAAAAGTATGTGAACCCCTTGGGATTACGTGGAGTTTTGCATGAATTGGGCATAAAATGTGCTCTGAACGTCATCTAAGTCACAACAATAGAAGAACACAGTCTGCTGAACATAATACTACACAAACATTAGATGTTGCCATGGCTTAATTGCACATAACATGTAAACATTCACAGTGCAGGGAGGAAAAAGTATGTGAGGCCCTAGCTTAATAACTTCTCCCAGAGCTAATTGGAGCCAGGAGTGAGCCAACCTTTACTCCAATCAGTGTGATGATACTGGATGTGTTGCTGACAGCTGTCCTGCCCTTAAAAAACACACACCTGTTTTGGGTTTACTGGTTTCAAGAAGCACTGTCTGATGTGAACCATGCCTCGCAGAAAAGAGCTCTCAGAAGACCTACGATCAAGAATTGTTGACTTGCATGAAGCTGGAAAGGGTTACAAAAGTATCTCCAAAAGCCTTGATGTTCATGTGTCCACGGTAAGACAGACTGTCTACAAATGGAGAAAATTTAGCACTTTTGCTACTCTCCCTAGGCGTGGTCGTCCTGTAAAAATGACTGCAAGAGCACAGCGCAGAATGCTGAATGAGGTAAAGAAGAATCCCAGAGTGTCAGCTAAACACCTACAGAAATCTCTGGCACATGCTAACATTTTTGTTGACACATCTACAATAAGGAAAACATTAAACAAGAATGGATACATGGGAGAACACCACAGAGGAAGCCATTGCTGTCCAAAAAGAATATTGCAGCACGTTTGAAGTTTGCAAAGGAGCACCTGGATGTTCCACAGCACTACTGGCAAAATATACTGTGGACAGATGAAACCAAGATTGAGTTGTTTGGGAAGAACACACAACACTATGTGTGGAGAAAAAAAGGCACAGCACACCAACATCAAAACCTCATCCCCACTGTAAGACATGGCGGAGGGAGCATCATGGGTTGGGGCTGCTTTGCTGCCTCAGGGCCTGGACGGATTGTTGTCATTGATGGGAAAATGAATTCCAGAGTTTATCAAGACATTTTGCAGGAAAACGTACGACCATCTGTCCGCCAACTGAAGCTCCGCAGAGGATGGGTGATGCAACAGGACAATGACCCAAAGCATACAAGTAATTCAACAAAACAATGGCTGCAACAGCACAGAATACGCCTTCTGGAGTGGCCCAGTCAGAGTCCTGACCTCAACCCGATTGAAGTGCTGTGGCATGACCTTAAGAGAGCGATTCACACCAGACATCCCAAGAATATTGCTACACTGAAACAGTTTTGTGAAGAGGAGTGGTCCAAAATGACTCCAGATCGTTGTGCAGGTCTGATCTGCAACTACAAGAAACGTTTGGTTGAGGTTATTGCTGCCAAAGGAGGGTCAACCAGTTATTAAGTCCAAAGGTTCACATACTTTTTCCTCCCTGCACTGTGAATGTTTACATGTTATGTGCAATTAAACCATGGCAACATCTAATGTTTGTGTAGTATTATATTTAGCAGACTGTGTTCTTCTATTGTTGTGACTTAGATGACGTTCAGAGCACATTTTATGCCCAATTCATGCAAAACTCCACGTAATCCCAAGGGGTTCACATACTTTTTCTTGCAACTGTACGTGCACATTATTTGACAAAATTTTGCGTTGACCATGTAAACTGTTGCAACAGCATATCCGAAGAAGCAGAACTCATTGCTGTGGACACCTCTCAGATCTTTGCTTGTACACATCACAGACAGTGCCATCGGTTCCGAACTTATCACGAATTTGTGCGATTGTTATTCATGTTGGTGGTTCTGTTCCAAACTCACCTCGCTATTGTTATTGAACTTCACACACACTTTCAAATTTACAATACCACTTCAAAATGGTCATACGTTGGTCAAAAGTCAAGTGTACCATTTTCTTTGACTCTCTCCTGACGGTCATATAATGACATCGACAATGTCTTTAGGGGTTAAATAATAATATGCATTGCTGCCATAATTCAGTTTGGGTTTTTTAAAAAGGTTATAGATAACTGTTCAACTGTGTAGATATTTTTTGGGCCCCTCTGTACATACACTAGCAGCCTTATCCGGTTATTACACATGTAGGCCTTGCTTCATACTTTGCAGTGCTACAGCTGCGATTTACTGTAGCCTCTCCCCCAACCAACTCATCGAAGACATGTGCGTTTTGTTTTGTCTGGTGGAGTTACAAATTATATTCCCTGGGTGTTAGCTTTAGCATTAACTCCATAGCAAGCACCTGGTGTGACTGCGCATCAGTGGATACTGGGAAATGTAGTCCCAAAGCTATAGGCTAAGTCAGTGGTGTTTGATATACCAATGACATAAGCAAAGGCATCTTGAAAAGAAGAGTAAGCAGCATGTAAAATAAAAAAACAACTGTATAATAAGCACTGCGATAATAAAATATATGCAATCCTTGAAAATGTACTTTATATTTAAATATGGTTTCTACCAATTCTGGTTTTAAAAGAAATATGTCCACAAGATAAATATATAGGCTGTCATAGCTAACCTTTCCTTATGAAAATACTAGCTATCTCAGTGTTTTTCAACCTTTTTTTAGTCAAGGCATCCCCTCTCGCCACCAGGCCCATACGCATACGGACCTGACAGCGGAGAGCTATATACACAATCAGGTGACTACAGCCACTGGGATTGTGTCTAAAACTGACAGGTAGACTCCTGCCTGTCAGGTGGAAGCAGTTGGGTGGCTGCGCTGCTGCCCGGTCACTTCCATAGCCCCCGGTATCGGTCTTTTAGACCCTGCATGTTTCAATAAAGAGAACCTGTCACCTAAAATCTTCACATTGGGGACTTGACCCCTACATGACGAAAAGAAAAAAGTTAAGAAAAATTTTTTTTTTATTTGCAATAAAATAAAGTTACACCCAAGCACACAATCTGACACCACTGTTGGAGCTCAATTGCCCTTACTGACACCATCCATGGGGTACTATTCTTCTCATTGATAGCAACAATGGGGCACTATTCCTCCCATTGAAACCAATGATGGGGCACTGATGCCAGGGCGTTTGTGGCTTCCACTGGCCACAGTCCGGCCCCCCTAAAGCCTGAAGCTCAGTTTTTCTCCCTCACTCTGCTAATGTGACCCCAGTGCTGTAGGAGACAAGCAGGGGAGGAGAAAACAAGGAGCACCTGATGTATTCCTTCTCAACTCCTTATAACAGCATCAGTTTTAGGAAACCAGCGATAGGTTGTAAGTGATGCACAATAGACACCTGTGGCTTTGTGTGAAAAAAAAAGAAAGGAAGATTTGTGGTCAAAATTTGGGCAATTTGGGGTAATTTTTAGGCATTTTGCCAAGGTACCTCTGAAGAACCTAGAAGGCACCCCAGGATTCTGTGACACCTTGCTTGAAAAAGGCTGCGCTATCTGACTGTCATGCTGACCCTCCTACTAGAACAGTTTTTCAGTCATTAATACCGAACAAGTGTGCAGATATGAACCTCAGACTTGTCTCTGATCTTCCTACAGTCTTAGACTCAGAACTAATAGGCCATATTTACACATGACAAACAACAAAAGAGAAAAATTCCCAGCTCAACTTGCCAACCAGCCTGCAAACAAACCGAATTAACCTGTCTAACAGTATGTGTTAAAAACAGGGGTTTAGTTAGCACACATTTGCAAATACATGTGTAAGCCACAGAGCCTCGTCATTGCACCCTGATATTCTGTAGTTCCTAACGCTACAAAGTTTGAGAGGCCCCTTAGTAGAGGCACATGTATTTAATGGGTAGAACAAGGGCTGGTGGACATGAGGGAGCCCACCCCTCCTTAACCACTAGCCTACAGGGCACTTATACCCCCTTCCTGCCCAGGCCAATTTCCAGCTTTCAGTGCTGTCACACTTTGAATGACAATTGCGCGGTCATGCAACACTGTACCCATATGAATTTTTTATCATTTTTTTGAGACAGAGCTTTATTTTGGTGGTATTTATTCACCACTGGAATTTTTATTTTTTCTTAAACAAAACAAAAACCACTAAAAATTTTGAAAAAAAAAGTTTTTTCTTAGTTTTTGTTATACAATTTTGTAAATAAGTGATTTTTCTCCTTCACTGATGTGCGCTAATGAGGCTGCAGTGATGGGCACTGATAGGCTGCACTGATGGACACTGATAGGTGGCACTGATGGGCACTGATGAGGAGGCACTGGTAGGTTGCACTGATGGGCATTGACAGGCATCACTGATGGGCACTGAAAGGCAGCACTGATACATGACACTGATACATGGCACTAATATATGGCACTGATAGGCGGCACCAATAGGCAGCACTGACTGGCACTGATAGGCGGCACTGACTGGCACTGATGCACACTGATAAGCGACACTGACTGGCATTGATAGGTGGCACTGATTGGCAGCACTGATAGGTAGCATAGATTGGCATTGATAGGTGGCACTGACTGGCACTGATGGGTGACATTGAAAGGCAGCTCAGATGGGCACTGATATGTGGCATTGATGTGCACTGGTATGCACTGATATGTGGCATTGATGTGGCACTGATGGGCACTGGCACGTGGCACTGATGAGCACTGACAGGTGGCACTTCTGGGGCCACACTGATCATCAGGGCACACTGATCACACTGTTCAACAAATTTTTATTTTTTGCCAGTTTTGGAAACAAAAGGATCCATTTCTTAATGAATTTCACATTCTGAGTTCAAATATAACAATGAAATTTGTCAATTGGCTCTAGTTTTTCTGTAAACAGAAAGTTTTCTACTATAGGCGTAATGACTACATAATGCACAATAATTATATAGATAGATGTCTTTCCACAAATATAAAGCAAGTGATATTGACTACATAACAAAGCCTAAATGGCATAATATATTGCATAGGATTACCAAGAAAAATTATAGCCATAAGCTAAGTTGAATCATTTTAATACTTAGGATTCTCACTAGTTTTGTCTTCAGTTTGTGTCGGTTTTGCTTCTCTTGGCTTTTCTCTTGTATTCGAGGAAAGGGCTATCTCTTACAACTGCACGTGACTACACGCTTCAGGTTCTTCCTCACTTGACTCAACCACGAAGGATTCTGGTGCTTTAGGAATTGGTAGCCCCTCTCCATGAGGAACTGGACATATTGCCGATGGAATATTTGGATAGTGCACAGATAACTTTTTCTTCTTATTTAGCCCTTTTACAATTGGAGGCACCATACAAAAGTAACAATTACTAACATGATCTGTTGGCTCTCTCCAAATCATTGGCACAGCGAAAGGCATAGATGCCTTTTTTCCATTCAACCATTGCTCCAGTGCCGTCCCACAAGAATTGCAGCATATATGTGGTGCCCAGCTCTTGTCCTGGTCTCCTATCTTGCAGCCAAAATACAAGTTGTAGGCTTTCTTAATCATTCCTGTTATCCTCCTTTTTTGTGAGATAAAAGTTATTTCACCGCAGATATAGCAGAAATTATCTGCTTTATTCACACAAGTTCGAGGCATTACTGAGTAGCCTATATAAGCATAAAACGAAATGTAAAGACGCTGTCGAACTACAATAAGCTACAGATACTGCAGCTTTTATGCAGTGAAGTGATGCAATTAAAGGCTAATATTGCATCATCTCAGTATACATGCAATTTTCTATTGGTCACCAGTATCAATTGCGCAATATGCAGCTGAAGTTGCATCATAATTTTGAATGGCTTACGTCATTAGATGGGTGAATATATCATGGAAACTAGAGCCAATCAACATTTTTTAGGGTCATTTTCGTTTTCAGCACCCCAAAATTATGTAAGATTAGCTAATTTTATGCCCAAAACTTTTTACCTGTTGAACAGTGTCATCAGTGCCCTGATGATCAGTGTACAGGTCCCCTCCGCGGAAAGCCGATTACCGGCTTTCCTCTCCTCTCCTCAGCGTGACAACTCGAGAGGAGAGAAATGCCGATTACCGGCATTTCCGTATTTACATGTGATCAGCTGTGATTGGACACAGCTGATCACTTGACCGAGCCGACATCTTCGGCTCTTTTCGTGATCCGCTGTGTCTGAGGGACACAGTGCACCGGCGATCGCTGCGCGCTCCCTGAGCCGGACATGCGCAGTGAGAATGGTAGGACGTCATATGACGTCCTATCAGAACGAGAGAACCACCTTGCGCCCGTCATTGTACTATAGGACGGGCGGAAGGTGGTTAAAGGTAAAGGAGCACACTGGACACCCAGCATATAGCACAATGGCAGCTAAGGTGTCCAGTGCGCCCCCTCACCAACAATTCAACAGTGCAAAAAAATGGCCACTGCCCCAGTCTATAACTATTTACACTTGAGTCGAGTCTTGTGGTATCGTGAGCTAAAACACATGAGTTAGTGTGTGTGCTTAGTATGTGTGCTGCAATGCCCCTGCTCTGTGCACAGTGTCTTGTGGTTCAGTACAACACAATGCACTACAGTGCACCGCAACACATATACTATGTGTAATGGTGCACAGCATTTTGCAAAAAAAGTTATGCACTTTTTTTAATCTGTTATGGTGTGTTGGAAGCCCATTTATAATAAATGAGCTGCATTAATGCAACGCATGATAACTCATGCCACAACATGTTAACGTGCAGGTATTAAACACCACAATAGCTCGCTTTGGTGTGAATAGGACCTTAAAGTTATTCTAAGGTTACATTTTTTTTTTCCTAACATAAAAAAGTTATACTTGCCTGCTCTGCGCAATGGCATTGTACAGTGCGGTCTCCTCCTCCTCCATCTCCCTCTGGCACTGTCCACACCACCACTTCTCTATGTACCACCATCACTTCCTATGGGGGCATCCATGCAGACTCACTTCTGAGCAAGGCTGTGTGAGTCCATTGACCTACACACAGTGTGGCTTGGCTATGCCTCTGACTCCTTCCTCATAGGATTTGACTGAGAGCTGAAGGAGCCAATGGCTTTTGTTGCTGCTGGATACTCATATCAATGCAGGAAGAAAGTAGCAGCGCTGCTGCAGATGGGCACAGTGCTGGATCAAAGGAGGGCTCAGATAAGTGTTTTGGGGTCAGGGGGACAAGCAGTGGGATATTTTTTACCTTAACTATGCTTTTTAGGAGCTCAGGCACGGCAAACTTCATTTATCTCTCATGACAGGTTTGCTTTATTAATATTTTTTATTATTATTATACAGGATTTATATAGCGCCAACATATAGGGCAGACAGTACAGTGACAATTCAATACAAGGGGAATCAAAGGACCCTGCTCATTAGAGCTTAATATAAAATAAAGGAGAAAACCCAATTTATGTAACCTTTTGTCATCAAGAGACTGTTCATTGCTTATGTTTATCCTGTTTTTTCTGCCAAAATGTCACATAACATGAACTGACATGTCAATTGAGTCATCTATACATGTCTCCTGTTTTTGTTGCTAAATATAATAACTACCCACACACACACAGGGTATTGTGATGAAATCCCGACCAATTCCCTTTTTGCATACAGCATCATTATTATTATACAGGATTTATATAGTGTCAACAGTTTTTGCAATGCAATGCTTTACAGCATAAGGGCAGACAGTACAATTACAACACCATTCAATATAGGAGGAATCAGAGGGCCCTGCTCATTAGAGATTACAATCTAAGAGGGAGGGTCAAATGATACAAAAGGTCATAACTGTGGATGAGCTGATGAAGAAAATAAAAGTACAGTTCTTAGGAAGAGGCGGGATAGGTTTCTCTGAAGAGAAGAGTTTTAATGGATCGTCGATATTGTCCTTGGTCAATATTCCTTGATCCTCCAGGCAGGGCTTCCAGACAGGGTGTGTAGTGGCTAAAAATCCATTGTCCTGCTGGCTAGCTTTTATGCATTATGTTCCCTAAGATAGCTATATGTTGACCTAATGTCCTAGGTCTATGATATTCTGTTGTCTGGACCTTCACGAGCACTTTATTCAATGTAGAGCTAAACTCAGTCATTAAAACCTTATAATCTTTAACACATACCTGTAATTTCAAAGTCATATTCCATATTTCTAAATCTTCGGTTCTCATTAAAATACTTGGTGATCCTGCCACAAAGGACTTTGTTCAAATTGTTCTAGTTATAGAGTGGCAATGTTCTGTTCTTGTCTCCGAATTGCTCTCCTGTGTCACACGTGGTTCTGGTGGAGGCTATGAACAGCCATGCTGACATTCTGAGCAGTGACATGCAGCTGACAATGGAGCACATGCATGCAGATGAGTAGTGACTGCAAAGAGGCTGCATGAGATTAACAGCAATCAAATGAAATGAGCAGTGCAGATTAAGCAAAAAAAATAAAAAAAAATAAAAATGGTGAAACATCTATTTTCTAAATGAAAAAAAATATATATATTTATGATACACAGTACTTTAGCGAACTGGCAACTGGTTATGGTTTACATTGCTCAATTATACTGGCCAATGCTACCTAAAAAAAAAGCACTGACACTGTACTAATGGCACTGGGCAGGAAGGGGTTAATATGAGGGGCGATCAAAGGGTGTTTTACTAGGGGGCCGTGTCAGTGTGCTTCACTGTAAGCACACTGCTTTGGATGGCTGTGCTGTGCACAGCCATCCAAAGCAGTGTGCCGAGCTGACAGGGAGGAGAAACTGTTAGTAAACAAAACAGTCCTCCTACCTGTCAGAGATCCTCAGTAATCACTGGGCGCCGGTGAGTAATCACCAGGCCGGGACCTGGTGATTGACAGCCATGAGTCACGCATGCCCCCTACCTAGAAATGCAAAATCAAGTGTATATATACGTGAGTTTGCGCACCTGTGCCGCCCTGTAGCAGTATTTCTGCTATAGGGCGATCGGGAAGCAGTTAAAGAAATGTGATTTCTTTCATAATTCTGGGAGCTATGAGGAAAAGTATTTACAGTGGATATAAAACATCCATACCCAACCCCTGTTGAAATGTCAGGTTTCTGTGATGTAAAAAAATGAGACAAAGATAAATCATCTCAAAACTTTTTCCACCTTTAATGTGGCCTATAAACTGTACAGTTCAATTGAAAAACAAACTGAAATCTTTTAGGGGGGAGTAAAACAAAAAAAACAAAAATAATGTGGTTGCATAAGTGTGCACACCCTCTTATACCTGGGGATGTAGCAGTGTTCAGAATTAACCCTTCACGCCTAAGGGTAAAACAAATCTTAATGCCTAAGTACAATTCTGCAACTTTGACATGTGTTTATAAAACCGTACATATCATCACAACTACTTTGTACATCTAGGTGGATTATACCATGATTCTTTAGGACAAATTGGGCTTTCATTTGTTGGTAAATAGTAATGGATAGCTCCTGATTTTTTTTTATTATCAAAGGAAAACTGACCCAAAATAGTAAAAAAAAAGTTTTTTTTAAATTTAGCTGTGTGTTTCTTGTTACAACCATAACCTACCACCAAAGAGCAACCCAAAATAAATTTTTCAGCTCTTGATGATTGCAGCGATACCATATATGTGTATGTTATTTGTTGCCACAGTACAGCCCAGAAACAATATTAAACATTTTGTTTTTTGGGGTTTTTTTTTACCTAGAACCCACTGACACTGACACAGACTAACACTGATAACAATTA